GTGTGTCAGCAGAGATAAGGACCCCACGGTTCGTCACTCCCGCACACTCCCGCGCACACACATACACACACACACACACACAGCAGAGAGGGTTTGGAGTCGTTAACTACCGCGGGAGTGACGAACCGTGGGGTCCTTATCTCTGCTGACACACACACACACACACACACACAGCAGGGCTGCGTTCGAAAACGTCACCCGAGTGCACACGAGTATACTTCTTTCTCTTTCTATCTCAGCGAGTTAGAAGGAGAAGGGAGTATACCCGTGCATACCTGGGTGACGTTTCCGAACGCAGCCCTGAGAGGTTTTGGAGTCGTTAACTACCGCGGAAGTGACGAACCGTGGGGTCTTTATCTCTGCTGACTGTTATGTTCAAATAATCATAACTCCGCGAAAAAAAATCGTACAGACCTCGGCGACATCGCGTTGTTTTCGTCTCGGAAATCCCTTTCGAACGAGCCTTCACTCAACACCACATGCCATTTAAGATTTTTTGGCTCCTTCATCCCCCCGTCCCCCGGGGGTGTGGAGATGGGTGTTTTTGTCTCGGTTTTTGTGGTTAAATAATAGACTTTGTGATCCCATTGTAGCCTATGGCACGCCATTTTGCTATTTAATACTATTATAAAAATTCTACCAAATTAAATTGATACTCAAAGAAAAAAAATTATTTTATGTCTAGACATATTTATAATTCATCGAATTATTATTAAGCTATTACATAATTGAAAATGCAGAATTAAAATTATGTCTAGACAAAATATTAATTCTGAATTTATTTTATGTTATGACATAAAATTTTTTCGGGAATTAAAATTATGCACATAATTGTAATTGTCGATTTTGTATTATGTACATAATTTTAAATCTAGAAATTTTATGTACATAATTTTAATTCTTGAATTTCCATTATGTACATAATTTTAATTCTTGAATTTCTATTATGTAGGTACATAATTTTAATTCTTGAATTTCTATTATGTACATAATTTTAATTCCCGAATTTTTATGCACATAATTTTAATTCTTAAATTTTTATGTACGTAATTTTAATTATTGAATTTCTATTATGTACATAATTTTAATTCTTGAATTTTCATTATGTACATAATTTTAATTCTTGAATTTTCATGTACATAATTTTAATTATTGAATTTCTATTATGTACATAATTTTAATTCTTGAATTTCTATTATGTACATAATTTTAATTCTTGAATTTTCATTATGTACATAATTTTAATTCTTGAATTTTTATGTACATAATTTTAATTATTGAATTTCTATTATGTACATAATTATAATTACATATGTAATAAAAATGTAATAAAAATTCAAGAATTAAAATTATGTACATAATAAAAATTCAGGAATTAAAATTATGTACATAATGGAAATTCAAGAATTAAAATTATGTACATAATAGAAATTTAAGAATTAAAATTAGGTACATAATAAAAATTCAGGAATTAAAATTATGTACCTAATGGGAATTCTCAATAAATATTATGTCTTGACATAATAAAAATTTCTTTCAATTTAAAATTTTATATGAAATCTAGGATTAAATGATAGTAGCACGTAATTCTAATTTTCAATTTTCATTGTATCATGGCATAATTTTTATTCACTAAAATTCTATTAACCATGACATAATTTTAATTCGTGAATTTTTATTATGTTGTAGCATAATTTTAATGTACTGAATTACCATGATAGTTTACATAATTTATATTTCTGCAATTATTATTATGTTACGACATAATATATGTTTTTATTTCAGCTATACGTCAAGAAAGGACTTGGTTTACAATTCTACTTAACACACACATCCGTCCACACGTCAAATATCATTCTTTTTTACAAACAAGCCGCAGTACATTATTATTTACATTATCAATGTTACGACATAATAAAAATACATTAATATTATTTCATGATATAATAAAAACAAATTAAAATTATGTCTTGACATAAAAGTAATTCGACATATAAACTGTACCTTTCTCTATGTATGGCACGCCGTTTTGCTATTTATTCATAAAATTTTTATTTTGAATTAATGTTACGTGAATACATAATTTTAATTCATTTTTATTATGTTATGACATAATAAAAATGGTTCCAAAAAAATATCTACTTCAGTTTAAATCAATTACTTAATTTTTATTTTAGATTAAAAAATTTTATTAATAAATAGCAAAACGGCGTGCCATAGTACCCCTATTTTCAATCCTATATTTCAAACCGTTCACAAATTATTTAGGTGACCCCGAACTTTCGGAAAGCACTGTATAACACTTAAGGCGGAATTCCACTAAGTCAACATTTGGGCAACATGTCGCATGCGGCAATGACGCATGCGACATAGAGTCTTTCAACCGAAGCAACATAAAGCTTTATGTAGCATGCTACACTGTGATTGGTGTTGCCGGTTGCATGTGCCATCTTTCAACAAGATTCAGATTGTTGAAAGATGTCGCCAGTTATCCGACAGTCAATGGATCGGTGCGGCTTGTAGCAAGCGATATGGAGTGGAATATTGAGAAAACTACGTTATTTATTGAGGATTATCATAATTCGCCGGAATTATGAAACAATAAAAGTTCCGATTATAAAAACAACACATTAACAACAAAGTTTTTAAATAAAACGCTATCGTCCGCAACCAATTTATTAAAAAATTTATTTCGAGATTTTTTACTTCCAATAAATAATTCTCTTCTCGACCACCTTGGTTTCCTTCGTTTTTTCTCTTACCACTTAACGCTATTACCAAATAAGCAGCTGCTGCTACCGTTTCCAAAGACATGACGCACGATACTGATGTTGCTTCAATGAAATTGATTTAGCCGCATACTATAAACACAAATGACAAGGCGCATACGACATTGGGCGACAAATTTCTCGTTCGACATCGAGTTTGTGGCACGGTTTGAAATCGCGTATCAAAGCGACACCAGATGACATGTGGCATACTACATGTCGCTTAGTGTTTCCTCAGTGGAATTGCGCCTTTACATCAAATACCACGTAAGACAGTTGGCTCACGATCCAGAGGTCCCGAGGTCTCGAGTTCGAATCCCAGGTAAGTGTGTTTTTCAAGTACAAGAAAATATTTATAATTATAGGTTGCATCTTAAGAAACAAATTTAGTTAAAAAGTAGTAATAAAATTTCAAAATAAATATAATTTTGTTTTATGTTGGGTGAATTTCCTCATTAGAGAGTGTTTTAATTCTAATATTGCCTTGTAGTCTACTGTACTCAAATAGATATAGAAATGTGTAGAATATCAGTATTAGTTGTAATTTGGCGTAGTTTTACCGAAAAATTTATAGATCAAGATGCACTAAAAAAAATACAAAAATTTACAAGTGTTCCAATTCTAGCATTTTCATGTAGAATTTTGTAGTACTTCTTAAATTCATGTAAAATTCAATAGATTCTGACAATTATATTTTATAGTTTTTTGTAGTACATTTTTATTTTTTTTTTTTTAATTTTGTAGAAATATTTCCGTCAGGGGTTCTCCAGCAAAGGACCAGTATCAAGCATGGGTCGCCTTGATAGTTAGCGCGTGCGCATTCCATTAATTTTGCCGATGAGCTTATTAGATTTAGGTCTAGAATATTCAAGTAGCCCCGTCAGATTCCCGGCTTTCTCCGGCGACAGCTAGTTTAGCGTCCTTGTCCGCCTTATGGGTCGAGTCTGAATGTAGCTAATATTATTTGGGTTTGTTTTCTTTCGCTGTACTTCTGAATTAGTTCAATAAGTTAGAATGAAACAAATATATTTTTTTTATTCTAACTTATTGCACTAGTTTAGAAGCAAAAACGAAAATGCATACTTTATCTTCTTCTCGCCCTTACATTTAGCTGATACACGGGTCGTTTTTCCACCGATAGTACCTTCATATCGTCTATTTTACTTTTCGTAAAATTATACTTTTCCTGCTCGCCTGAGTCATTTTAAGTAGCGTATCAATATTACATATTATATATGGAATAATAATCTATACTCTATAGAAATTTCCGACAAGTCAGGATCACGTCAATGTTAAGGGGAATACAATTATACTATTACAAAATGTTTAATTTTTTTTAATTTGTTAATTATATTTTCTCTCCTTATTTGGCGTAATTTTTTTACTTTAACATTTCTTTTGTACGTTTTTAAAATTATAAAATGTTGAATAACACTTATTCATCTAAATATTTTTCTTACGGAAATCAACATAATTCATGTTGCAATGCACAATTATTTTTGATATTCGGCATATCAAATAGTATATTGTACAACTAGTGGAAAAAGTGGTCGATTCTGAATGAGTGTGAAGTTGGTCGCACGAGCGAAGCGAGTGCGACCATCACTTTTTCCACTAGTTGTACAATATACTATTGTACAACGGTTTTTCATACTGGTGCTCTTCGCGACTTTTTTACATTTTTAAAAATATTGTTTTTTAATTGTATATCATTCGTTTTTTTAGTAAAGTTGAAAACATCTTTAAGCAATATATGATTTAAAGACAGTATAATATTGTTATGCTTTTATGTATTCTGCAATATTTTATTTGTTTTAAGACTATATTATTATTCATCCCTTGCGATCATATTCCTAAGTTTTCCATCCATAAAATTACAAAAAATAATTTTGCTCTTTTTTTCCCAAACTCTTCTTTTTCTATCGCTCATGTTCTCTCACTCTTACTCCCTTTCGCACATGTTTCCTTACTTTTGCTTCTTTGTTTGCGCTCTATCGCTCTCGCTTCTTCACTTTTAGCTTGAAATCTTTTTCTTTCTACACGACATGGTCTGACAAAGAGTCATCTAGTGATAGAAAGAAATATAAAATAATCTTCTCTGACTGATAGGTCTGATTTACCTCCTGCACCCTGATTCTGTATCTGTTAACGACAGAGTGTCGTTATCGTTATTGTCGTTGGTCGTTGTGCAGGTATACTATATGAAAAAAGCTACACAACGACAATATAACGATAATGATACTGTCGTTAGAGTTACAGAATAGGGCTTCTCTATTGATAATAACGCGCGCAAAAATTCATCGATTTATTGGAAATATTGTCTCTCATTGTTTTACACGTGTATATACACCACAAATTCAGGTGTGTTATTTTAGCTGAAACTCTTTTTATACATTTTTTGCTGTTAAATCACGTTATTTAACACGCTTGAACGTATTAACTTTTAATTTAACCCTAAAATGCCACCCGGGGTCCAGAGGACCCCAGACCCTTTACAATTATATATTTTCAAATGTTTCCGCCAAAAATGGAGCTTATGCTCCCTCTGATGATAGTTGAGTGATTGAACTACCAGTGTGTACACTTATAAGTACTGCTATAGCAGTACTCAGTTTACTTAATTTTTTATACTATGTTGAAATTGAAATTTTAACAATATAAGCATTTTATTCTCTTTTCTAGACCTTGAAAAACATTGAAAAATTTTTTATAACTAAAAATAAAAAAATCATTGAGTAAGGAGACATATTTTTCATGCTGGGGTCTTTTAGACCCCTCATGTCATTTACGAGATTCTTGAGAGGTGTGGCATTTAAGGGTTAAGACGATCAAACGTGTTAAATGAAGTAATTTAACACATAAAGAAACATGTAAAAAGAGCTTCAGTTTGATGTGTTATTTTTAGACGTTTATGCGTGTAAAAATAACACACTTGGATTTGAAGTGTAAATACGGTAGAAATGTTGTCATAGGGATGCTGGCGATATTGTCAAAAAATTTTTTTCAATGCAACGCTAGTGAGAAAATTTGCTTGCTAGTACTGCATAGTGTCAAAAAAGTGAAAGGAACAACAGACAATAATACTAATATCTCCTTTCGTCTCGTAAGACACGTACACGAAAAATAAAAACACATTTTATTGTATAATTCAAACTCAAGCTATCGATTGAGCCTAACTCAGAACTTGATCGGTTCAGTCGTTATTGAGATTTGATAATATAAGAGTCTCTCAACTCATCGGTTTGCGTATAGATACATCACTTGGCGCGAGACAATACCGTGTCTCTTGATGGATTACGAATAAGAGAATTGCCAATGACGTCTGATGACGTCTGATGACGCGCTACTCTCGAATTTGCACAGAATGACAATCATTTCCAATGGCTGTCACGTTTCTACGCTTAAAACTGAATGCGATTCGCGATCAAAAATATTCGACGATTGATTGGATTTTGAGCAGTAAAGACTGCAATCGATGGTATAATTATTCATTAATCAAAGATTGATGAAACGGAGAAATATCAGACATCTAATAGTGTATTAAATTTAAAATTTGCGAGATGTAATTACATTTTAAATTACCTCATTAGCTGCAGTTTATTGATGAAATTGATGAGTAGTAATAAAATATATCAAATAACAATATATTAAAAGATCTTAGGATAAATCAGAGATAAACGGGTTTTATATTTTGTTTAAATAAATTTATTCCGCGTAAAAATATGAGTTCATACATTTAATAAGTGCACAAGTATAATTAATTTCTTGTCACGTGAGCCCATTCTCAATGATAGTCGCGTTTCTTTAAGTCCTTCATCGTCCATAGCCGCCACTGCAACCGAAACATATTATCATGAGTCGCATGCCAATAAACAATTTTATCACCTAACAATAACATAGATGATAATTGAGAGATCAATACCTATACCAAATAATTATAATTAATAATTAAGATTATCTCTAAAACTTTTTTCTTACGTTTTAAAATTATTCGTAAGATATTTTCGACGAACTCGACCCGTTAAAGATTCTCAGCAATGTTGGTTCGTAATATTTACCCAGAATTAGCAAACGAGTGCGCGTAGGAACCGCTACCGAACGGCGTGCTTATTGAACCAGCATTAGCTCCGCTGTTGGCGAAAGAACCGCCGGGATATCCCCCGCATCCTCCTCTGCATCCTCCGTATCCTCCGTGTCCGTATCCTCCGTGTCCGTATCCTCGGTGCCCTCTGTAACCATGATGACCATGCCCGCGAAAACCGCCAAATCCGCCACCGAATCCACCGCCGAAACCACCGCCGTATCCACCATAGGCACGTTTGAGACGAGCGGGCTCCTCCGGCGCGGCTGCTCCGACTATCTTTTTAAGACCTGAATAAGAAGTTTTAGATTTGAACCTTGGCTTAGTTAATTCAGACTTCACTTCAAAAATAATTAAAGGGGGAGATAGTTATTAATTGAGTTTGACGATTTGTTTGACGATTCAATATATATTTATAGATTCGAGATTGCTATCAGAAATTTTAATCACAAGGTTTTATCAACTCTTGATACAACATTTTTGTCAACAAGGGTACGTTTGCGTAATGAATCGCGAGATATGTCGAAATGTCAGTGTCACTATAAAAAGTAGATAAACTGGTTTTTTGTCAATCAACGTATTTCAATAACGATAGAAAATATGCTAGCAATTTTAAAAATTTTAATATACCTATTTTTTATGAATATCATATGCCAGATAATACCTTCTTAAGATAGTTGTCTCGCAAATTGCAATTAACAAAAAAAATTTGAAAATTTAACTATACGTTAATACGTGGTATATCTACACGTTTGTACAATTTAAAAGTAATTAACTGTCCCAGACGGATCAAAAGCACACGACAAATTAATAACACATTTGAATTTCTGAACATCTTACAATCTCGATACAAATCTGATAAAATGACAACATGTCAAAATTTCACTTCCCGCACAACACTTTCGCGAGAGTAACAGCTGTTTTTGTCTTTACCTTGGAATTGCGGTGCGGTCGCCGGTAATGCTACCGCAACTGCGACGAGCAGCGCAACGAACAAGAGGATTGCAATCCTTGACATTCTGCCGATACTGACCGTGCCGCCGAGGGTATTCAGTACCAAATGACGGCGAGAAAATAAGCCAGGCAGTCTTTATATACAGGGACTCGGACTCGTACGTGTTCTGGGATATCCCGACGCTGCGACGTTTACGTAGATACGAAACGGGCAGTTTCGGCCGCGTTGAATCGGCCGCATATCATTACCACGAACAAAATGAGCCTTTTCTTTGTCGTTGTGGGACCGATGATGCGCCGCTGCCGCTGTGTCCCTGGGACGACTTCCTGCTCACTCGGTGGAACGTTATTTCGTGACAGTCTGCGAGCGGATGATCCAGCAATCCTCGGTATCACTTGGTGAATCGTCTTTATCTGATTCGCAAACTGCTTTTCAAAGAAGCGCGAGAGATACAGGTAAATCGTCAACTAAAGTGTTTTTACAACAGTAATTATTAATATTAATTAATATCAATTTACAATTTTTAATTAGTAATTACTAAACGTACAGTAATTACTGTACATCATTGACGAAACTAAAATTCTAAACTAATTGTTAATTAATTAATTGAAAGTAATTAAAATTTCTAAATTAATAACTTTAATTAAAATAATTTAACACTGCTTATAGAATCTTTTGAAAGTATTAATAATATTCTAGTATAATTTTAAAGATTTTAATATTTTTGTATGAATATATCGTGCTAAATAAGTTCTACTTAAAATAAAATAGAGCTAAAAAATTTGGGAACCGCTAATAAAGATGATCGTGCGAATTGTTTCTTTATAGTCCAGCAGCCACCGCCTGTTTTTTTCAGTGATTAATAACAGGCTAAATCTTCGTGAGTAGGTTCGGTTCGACAAGACGCCCAAGTCTTCCCTGTGAAAATTCTCGATAGAGGTAGCTAATGAAGTGCACAGGTGTAAAACATGTCAATTTGGTGGGGTGTCGAAATTGTCTAACTAACAGTAAGTTTTTTATTGAAATGTTAAGATAATTGAATAATAAACTCGGAAAAACAATTGTCCTACAAAATGAATGGTTTGACTGGAGCGTCCTCCGCTCCGAATATGTCCAAATAACGAGATCATAAAAATTATTAATAACCAGCTGATTTTTTGTATGCAGCTTAGTAAATATTTGTATAATGAA